CCGACTGGGATTGAACCCAGGGGGAGAGGCAATCGCGCTTACCACTACACAACCGGCGCCACTGAATTTGAATCATATTTGAGTTCCTTTCACACAAATTCGCAAAATCGCAGGTCACTTAAGAACTGAGTAAAATTTTCCTGGGTTTTCTAAGAAAAAACTTTTCGAATGTGAAGAAAATCGAAAGAGGTTTCACTCATTCCATTAGCATAGAGGTAACTCTAAGACCAGAAGGTCCCGAAGAAACGAGCTCAACTTTTTGGCTCAACTCTGGTACTATCTTCGGTCCCAAGCTAATCGATGCACCCCTCGAAACATAGGAAAATCTACGAACCCCTCATTTTATCTGTCAAACTTTCATAGCGAATCAAAACAAACATAGTGTAGTACTAGAATGTCGACTAGCATGGGGTCCGTTAATCGTTTGCTTGGGACCAATAGGCTAGTCAAGTAGTGAGCCAATTTAAAATCGTTAGCTTCCACCGTTTGCTATTAGTATCTCTTACACTGAGTAAAATTTTTGACGATTTTCTTCATATTCGAGCAGATTCGAGAGGAAAAGGCGAGGAGGATGACTCAATCTACAATGCAGGAAAGATTTTGTTTTAGTGTGGTTCGCTGCGCGTACGTTGAGTAGAAAGAAAGAAGATTGAAGACGATTTGAAGATGTCCTGCAAAAAGATGCTGTGTGATGCATGTAGATGCGAGAAATGAAAGAAGATTTCTCGTAGATTGATTGATTGATAAGGGTGTGATTGATCTCACACTAGATTTTTCGAGCATCTAGAATTGAGATTTAGATTTGAGGAACATGTATTAGAAAGTCTATGAGTGATCAACGTTTTTGTAATTATGAGTGAAAAACCACTCAATTTTGAGTCGATCTTATCGGTCGTGCATTAAAATTCCGATTAGGCCCTTCAGACTATTACCAACAATCAATACGAAACTAACGATTTTAAATTGGCTCACCACTTTAGTAGCCTATTGGTCCCAAGCAAACGATTAACGTACCCTATTCTAGTCGAAATTCTAGTACTACGCAATGTTTGTTTTGATTCGCTATGAAAGTTTGACAGGTAAAATGAGGGGTTATTGGTTTTTCCTATGTTTCGAGGGGTGAATCGATTAGCTTGGGACCGAAGAGAGCACCAGAGCTGAGCCAAAAAGTTGAGCACGTTATTTCGGGACCTTCTAGTCTTAGAGTTACCTCTATGCTATTACTATGCTTCTATGGTAACTCTAAGACAAGAAGGTCCAGAAGAAACGATTGATGTTTTCTGATCAACCGGAAAGAAAACACTGTCTCTTTCTTCTTCATCAGTTCTTTTTTTTTTATCTAGTTCGTTTATTTGTAAGGCTCAATCGTGTTAGCTTTACGGAGCCGATAATTCATTGTTCTTTGTTTGTAACCAAATGCACTTGATTCTATGTCTAGTAGGAGTTGGGCCGAATACTCGCGGCTTACCTGAGGTTAGTGGGGTACATTGTCGAAGGATAAGAAAAGAGGAGGAGCTTGGGGGTAGGGTTACGTTGTCTCATCAGAACGATGTCGCCAGTATGAACGGTAGTGTGGTTCTAGATTCGTCTGGAGTTCGACCGGTTAGGGTGACCAGTGTCATCAGTTCCTAAGCGAGAAGTGTAAGTGACGTCAACAATGTGGTTACGTATGAATGATAAGGAGCTAATAAGAAGCGCGATTTCACATGCCGGACTTCTGTAGATCGCGGGTCATCTTCGTTAGACCTAAGGTGCACCCATTTATAGACCCAATATGAATACAGTAAACCGACGTAACATCCACGTACCTGGAGAAATTTCATATTAAAATGGTGAGTTTTACCATTTTTCGTAGTGCCTAATTAATATCCAAATAATAAGGATATCTATGTTGACATGTTGACAGAGAAAAATCTTTTGAAGCTCAATTATTTAATAATATAATCCAAGGTTTAAGGAACACATCGCAGAGGTAAAAAAGGCTAACAAAGAGATGGATAAAGGGCTTCATTATGAATTTAAATCCAAGGTTGCAGAACATATCGTTGAAAAGGGGCACAATTTGACTAAGGAAAACATTAATATCCTGCGGACTGTATCTTCACCTTGGAAACTAGACGTAGCCGAAAGTCTAGAAATATTTAAACATAATCCATCAACATTGCTAAATAGAGATCAAGGAAACGGATACTCGAGACTCTTTAGCATGCTACCTGAAACAACACATCGTAGCATGCATCTACCTGTTGTAGACTGAATTTAGGTACCTGTTTAGGTAAATTTTGACATGACAGTGGATACCTGCTGATTTTTAGTACCTATTGATTAGTATATAACTCGTAGATTAAAGATGGATTCTTCAGTGGTGTTGAGTACTTGGCACTGATGAAGTCTGCAAGTAGTAGACGAAATACGCGTATCTGTCAAAAGATAAGCAATTATAACGGAATTAAAAGGAAATAAACCAACCCACTCAAAGCTCTTCATAATAATAGAAGGCATACAATGTAATTGAAGGCTTCATATTAGACATAATACGGGATATGTACCCTATATTGAAAAATATCAGACACCAAAAAAACGATATCCAAAACTGGCCGAATTTTGAGTGTGAATGATTGCCCATAACGAAAAATTATGCAAAGCTTCATGAAAACCGGAGGAAGTCGGGTGAAAATTTATTGTTTGCTATTTGGCCTAGAACCATGGAAGTAACTCTAAGGCTAGTAGGTCTCGAAGAAACGTGCCCAACTTTTTGGCCCAGGTACTATCTTCGGTCCCAACACGGTTAGAAAAAAGTACCCAACGGAAAGTTCACTTTTACCTACTTTTGACTAGTTTGTCTCCTTTTCTCCTTTTAATGTTGTCAAAAACGGAGGAGCAAAACCACCCAACAGGGGTAGTAAAGTGCACAGCAAAAAAATAATTTTGATATCACATCAAAGTGGATGCACTACAATCATGTCGAAAATTTCATGTAATTTTTATGACCACATAAATAAACAAATGCAGTAAAAGCAGCGTAATGTCAATTCATGCATTGTATTAATGATAATTTTGTCCTTTTTAGCAAGCAATATTACACCATATTTTCGACATGATTGTAGTGCATCCACTTTGACGTGATATCAAAATTATTTTTTTGCTGTGTGTGGGAACCCAACGTTGAGTATCATCATATTTACCTACTGTTGGGTACAACTAACTTACTTTTGGTTAAAAAGCCAGAGGAAAATTCCATACGAACTGCACACAAGTAAATGAAAATTACTTTGACCCGCTTTACCTACTTTTAGGTTCCCGCACTATAGTGCCGAGATGAGTGAAAAGAACTTAATTTTGGGTACTTTTTTCTAACCGTGAAGTTAATCGATGCTCCCCTCGAAACATAGGAAAATCCACGACCCCCCTTTTATCTGTCAAACTTTCATAGAGAATCAAAACAAACATAGTGTAGTACTAGAATTTCAACTAGAATGGGGTATGTTAATCGATTTGCTTGGGACCAATAGGCTAGTCAAGTAGTGAGCCAATTTAAAATCGTTAGTTTCCACCGGTTGCTAGAACTGCTCTCTGTTTAAATCCATTAAGGTGATTCCTTGAAGAGTCCAAAGATGACCGTCATGATGGGTGATATGCCCTATCTCTTCAAGCTTTCTATAGCACAAATCTCGGACACTGTTGCGTCACCGCTCATGAAATTGGAACTCCCTGTTTGATTCACTGAAGCAAAAGTTATGTTCCAGTTTCCTTGTTGAATGTTTCATGAGAGCTGATATTTATATATAAAGCTGGAATTAGGGTGTAACAGCTTTGGTAAATAATGACTTCTCTCGATAATTTCTAGGAATTCAAGGCACGCCTACGCAAACAAACATAACCGTTGGATAGGGAAAGTCTAGATTTGCGTTGGCCAAGTTGATTTGCGCTGGCGAGCCTTGACTTTTTAGAAATCATCGTAAGAAGTCATTGTTTACAAAAGCTGTTACGCACTAATTCCAGCTCTATCAAGTTTCGTGCTCTTGAAATTGCGAGGTGTAAATCAGATAAATCAGAAATAAAGCGTCCACAGTGATTCACCTTAGGCGTCGACTGCCATGCGGCTCCACATGATGCAAACTAACCCAGCACAGCCGTAGACACAATCCATCATTTGCTAACAAGGCTAATGAACCTTACTTTGCGAAACAATCCGGTCGAAAATGTCGAGCTTCTCATCTGGAAATTTACCCTTTCCAGAAATTCATGAAAGACCAACTTTTCAGCAACATGCAAGCGAGAAGCAGAAACTTTCACCCAGTCTTTGTAACATCAAGTTTTAAGTTGGCTCCACCGGGTGTCCAGAGCAGTTTTCTTTCCCGCCTTAATGAACCACGAATGCTTTCTAGGGAAAGGCACACAACTACCAGCGAGCGTGTCAATATTGACGAAGGCAAACACACAATTCCAAGAACGAATAAACTCAGCGCTTGAAATCTTAAACTAACCGAAGAAAAGAATGCGGAAGAAAATAGTTGCTCTAACAGTGAAGTGAATCAAAATTTAAAACAGGAGAAAAAGTGATTTCACACAGCGCAGCAGGGAAGTGATGATGAATAATGAGAACAGCGAACAAACAAATTATGATTCAATCGAGGTGAAAAAAGAAGTTTCCACTTTTAATTAACAATAATCTTGCAATTCGCGCGCTCCAGCAGAACTGAATCGATATTGATGAGAGCGAGAAAAAAAAATTCACTAACTATGCATAACTACTTGCTAGGTTGCGGGTGAATGAAACCAGTGTGAAGGAAGATAATAGATCAACTTTAACATGTACACCTAAGCTTAAACACAAACAGCCAAAATCACACTTGCTCTAACTTAGGATCTACTATTACACAAACAAACAAACAAAAAAGTTTCTTAAACTACGTAAAACACACAAAAAGCTGGGCAGGCAAAGACTGGCTTAAAAGTGACGGTTTCTGGGTGAATAAACAAATGATTTCGAATCTAACCTAGATGAACACCTGTCCGTCTTCGGAGGCATTCGACAGGGATAGCTGGATCTTCACGCTCGGGTGGGCCGGAATGGTCCGGATGCAGTCTTTGGCCGGAGTGACCGGGAAGCGCAACGGGCCGGTGTACTTCCGCGAAAGGCCCATCGTCTTCGGAGGCGGCAGGGATTTCGGTTGCGTTCGGTTCGATCCGTAGGATAAGGTCGAAGACGAAGACGACGACGAGCTGGACACACCGGGATAGGAGGAAATTGGACTGACCGAGGTCGGTTTGGTGTAGGCTTGGAGGATCTGGAATTTGAGACAATTGATGGAGGGTTTGAGTTAGTGTTGATGAATGGAATAAAGGTTAAGGGAAACAGGGACGCCAGATTGTGATACTTGGACGTTCATTTTTCCTTTAGAAAGTCTGTGCAAATAGAAACAAGTCAGTGAATCTGGCTCCGCTGGTGGAAACTACCTTTGGCAGATCGGGCATGCTCTTGGAGGGGGACAGCATTCCAGGCGGACCACCGCCGTGGCTTTCGTTGACTCGGTTTCTTGTGCGCAGAATATCCGCGACATTTTTCGTGTAACGGTGTTGATTGAAGGATGTCTTCCGATCGTCCTGTTGGCTCTGACTATGCTGGTGGTAGAAGGATCGAATGGCATCGAAGTGATGTCCTATATCGTCGTAGGTTTTCCCATTGACCACTGGACTCTTCCGCGGATGCGTGGATTGCTGCTGCTGATTTTGAGCACCGTTCTTTATGTATAAGCTGTTGGATTTGGAAACAGATGCGGTGGCCATTCGAACCGCGTCCAGCTTCGATGGGTACAGATCATCATGACCGATCTTGTTGATACTGTTGGTCGATTGGTGGATATTCAAACGACTCGAGCTCAGTGCAGGTCGCACGTAGATTTGCGACAGGACCAACTCCACCGTTCGTCCCGTGTTTTGTAGAATCGTCAGGGATTCGCTGTAGGGCAGATTCAGCAGAGACCGACCATCAACGGCAATTATCTGAAAATAGATTTTGAAAGTTACGATTACGCTTCTTCGAGAAAATGCCAACGATTGACAAACCTGATCACCGATCCTGACTCCCGCTCTGGCTCCCGGTCCATTTGCCACCAAGTCCTTAACGTAAACATTGTTATCCGATCCTTGCACGATACTGATCCCCAAGGTGTACCTCGCACCCCGACCATCCTCTCCACTACTTCCACAATCCGCAATTCCACCGTCCGAACTCAGATCATCCCCACCGAAGGCCATCAATCGGGAACCACCGTTCCGGAACAGCACCGACTCCTGGCTTCGTGACAGGAAAGACCTTTTCCGAGCCAGCATGCTCGCCTTAGCCTCCGCCTGACTCCGCTTCTCGTTCGGATTTATGAAATCTTTCACCACAATGACCGACGTTAAGATCCGATCGTTGATCGTCGCACTGCAGCTCAGGTTGTTGAACTTTTCCAGCAACGTATCGGAAATTGTCTCATTGGGCACCTCAAAATGTCCACTTTCGCTGCGGATGCTTGATTCTGCAAATTTGAAAAATATCAGTTAACCAATTCACGATCTTCCCCCTTCATCAAAAAATACTCACGAATTACACACGCTTTTGGTGACAACGTCTCCTCACTTCCGCCCACAGACTTCTCCTCAATCTTCTCCATAAAATACACCGATCCCATGCTGCTCTTCGTCGATACCGCGTCGTCCACACTGCTCTCGATCAGCAACGGATCAACCTTCTTCTCGTAGCCCACATACAGCTCATCATCCTCGTTGAAACTACTGTTCGCTAAATTCTGAATGGAGTTAGCTCCACTCAGCGCTCCACTCCCGATCCCAGCCTGCTCGTACAGGTTGTCATAGGACTTGTTCAGAAACTGCGCCGAAAAAACCCTCGTTCCCATTTTGACCCGATTCCGATTGACGCTGGGCGTCTTCGGGGAACAATCCGGTGACATGCTGATCCCGCTCGGCCCGACCGGATCCGGGTTTTCGTTCTCCTTATTCTGATTCTGCTGGTTTGCGATCTCGACGGATTGGTTCAGCGCTGGTTGCGGTCCCTCCACCGTGGACTTGGACCGCTTGATGAGAAATTTCTGGCGAAGCTTCGCCAGCCGGTTATCGTTCAGCATGGATTTCTTGAGGTTCCGGACCCGAAGACCGGTCGATTTGAGTGGTTTGTCGATCTTGTCCACGTGCTTGGCGTCGAAGGCTGCCTTCTCGTCGACATCGGCCACGTCCAGCTTGGGTTTGGTGGGATCAGTGGCGACGGGGCTTGGCCCGACACGGGTGGGCTCGGCGATCGGAATGTTCAACTCGTTCGACAGGGCTTTGATTGAGACGAATGAGTTCCGCAGCTTCATGTAGAACTTGTGATGCTCAGAGGCTAGGTTGAAGGCGAAGAAGCTCCTGGAAGAAAAGACGATAATAGCGGATTAGTTTGATAGCGGTTTGTGAGATAAATCCGCTAGATATTTCTATCGATTTACAACTACTTTGTATTTTTCATAAAATGCATCCATCCATCCATTGAGCAGTTCCACGCCAAATGGCGAATCGGAAAAACTCGACCTTTGCCAATTTGCATGAAACTTTGCCCAATTGTTTGAAATGAACAATGATTCAAAGTTTTCCTCAAATTTGGCCATTTTGAATCGTGTCAAAAAGTTCAAAAATTTGGTAATAGTTTTTGTTCTACGATTTTTGCAAAGATATTTTAGTACAGTCAACTCTCCACAACTCGATAGATTCTGCGGTCCCTTCATTTCCCCCCCCCCCCCCCCCTTCGTACTCTCCATAAGTCGATGTTTCTACAAGTCGATGCCTCCTTTGGTCGAGATGATCTATGCAGTGTTATTTTGATTCTATAACTCTATCTAACAAACGTAGAGCTCTGCATTCTGTGTTGTTGATGTTAGAATCACTGGAGCTTTAAAAACATGATAATTGGTGATTTTATTGAGTACCCAGGATCACATCAAAACATGTTCCTCGGGGCCATTCCTGGCCCCATAGAAATTCAATAGATAATTTGGAGAATTTCATAGAATTATAGGAAGCGTTGCAAAACTTCGTGAACATTTCGTGGGTGCGGAAGATATGTACCGTCAACTTTCGCTCGTTGGGCTAAACCTGTACCCCACTTAGTGAAAGACTTTCGTTAGTTGGGCTGAGCTGTCAAGCTGAAAATTTGTTGAGAGATACACCGATTGTCTATTATCATCACAATCCTTTGGCAGCTATCCAAACTGTTCATACATGAGCCCCTCGAAAAAGAAATAACACGGTCAAAAATGACGTTTGACTGGGATTTAGGTGGGCTACAGCCCACCTAAACATAGCCCAACGAGCGAAATTTGACTGTACAAGAATTGAAATTTTGATGAAGTTGGGGAAACCTACTTATTATCAGACCATCTTTTAATTTCAGGGCACTTCGTTAATATTTAATGAACTTTAAAAGTTTAAGAATTACCGTCGAAGTCCAGGAAACTTTAAAGAACTTGTAGGAGCTCCACAGAAAATAAACGAAATTCATAAAAAGTTCAGGAAACTTTGTGAACTGCAGTCAGCTCCATAGAAGTTCAGTGAAATGTGTAGCAATTAGAAGTACTTTGTAAAACTTCATGGAAATGCAAGGAATTTTGTGAATGTTCAAAGATCTTCGAAAAACTTCGGCAAACTTTGTAGAAGTTCAGGGAATTTAGTAGAAGCTCAGCAAGCAGGAACTTCAATTTGTCAGATAATTTATTTCAATAAGCTCACATGCTGCTAGTGTTCTCTCTGCTGCTTCACATGAGTGGCAGCTATGTTGCTGCCATCGGTGAAGCCTGCGATAAAGATAGGGTAACCGGCAGTGTTGCCAAATCCATTTTTGTTGTCTGCAACATCTTCCCTCTTAATAGAGCTGGTAGGGGTCAAACCATCGAGGCTGCCTTCGAAGACGGGAAGACCGTCGAGTTAGAACTTCTACCGGTTCGGTTTCAGCTGCTAACTCGAACTCAGTTCATGTTGATGCAGCTGCTGTTGTAGAAGACATTGATGACCTCTCGATGACGGCGGCAGCTACTGGGCGTCATCAGATTTGCAGTTGATGCTGAGCTAGAGACTGGTGATGATGGTGATTGAACAGGCTCTTCCGGTGCAAGCGACGACAGAGGTAGGTTCCAGGTAAACATCAGGACGTTCAACGGAAATCAACTCTGTGTGCTCATGGCTTGTCTGTCTGGTAACGTGGCTTTCGAACTAGTGGGGTTTCGACTACGCAACTGGTTGACGTGCGAGCGCAGCTTCCGAGTATCAATCCACACGTTATACTCTTCACGATTCTCTCGAGAAGTATGCCAGGTACTCATTTCCAGGTATTCTTGGTGTACATGCTGTCTACGCCAAAGCATCGTCACGGTTGAACGATCGTCGTTTCTCTTCGTTCTGCTTTTCTGGTACTGTCTTGGGCGCGGGACGTGATCATAACAACTCAAGGCTGGTTCGGAATTTACAGCCGAACAGAGCCCCTGACGGAGTCTTGTTTTCTGGTACAGATTGATTTGGCGTGCTCCTGTACGTGAGCAGAAACGTATCGATTGCTTCATCCATTGTTCCTCCCCCTTCTCGGATCTTCTTGACGTCCCTTTTTGGATGTATTCACGAACCGCTCTGCTTGTCAGTTTGATGATGGATGGAATAAGTCTGTCGTGAGGTCAAACTCCGTACTGGGGAATTGTGTTCCGTTGTCAGAGACCAGTGTAACCGGCATCCCCAGTCAAGCGAAGAGCCCACGCAAGATGGGAATTGTGGATATCGATGTAATGCTGCGCATTCTGACAATCTCAGGCCACTTGGAGTAGGAGCCGACGACGATTACGAATTAGTTGCCATTGATTGGTCCGGCCTAATCTATGTTAACGCGTTGCCATGGGCAGAACTGTTTTTGGCCACAGAATCGGTGTAGCATGAGGAGGAGACTTCGCAACGGACGCATACTGCTTAAATAATCGCATATCAGTCCCTTCTTTGCTTGATTTCCTATCCACATGGGACTGATATGCGATTATGGGCAGTACAAACCTTGACATAACCAACGATGTCATCGTCGAATGACGGCCAGTAAACGTAGCTCCTGGCAATTGGTTTCAACCGCTGCATACCTTGATGGCCTTGATGAAGCTGGTCCAACCATCGTTTTTGGTGTTTCGATGGACTGACGAGTCGTTCGGCAAACAAAACGCACCCATTGACTACGATGAAGGATTCATGTCTGGCGTGGAATCGTTTGATCTTCGGTTAGACTTGCTTAGATTGCAGGTAAGCCGTTTTGAATGTACCGGTAGACCTTGCGTAATAGTGGTTCGGCTTGGGAACATTAAGCGAATTTGCGGCTGCTGACCTGTCATCCTACTCTAACGCTAGCAATGATGTAGTCCTCTTCTGGCTTCGTATGTTGGCTAATCAGCTCGGACAGCAGTTTCTCAGTCGGAACGTACTCGATGTCGAAGTCGTATAGAAGTAACTTGAGGGCAAACCGGTTAGCCGTATACACCGGAATACCTTTCTTGAAGTCGAAGATTCGAATCAATGGAGCGTAACTGCGAAGATGACGGCTAGACCTTCTCTATCAGGCGGAACGTAGTTCTGCTCCGACTTGGTGAGTGCTCTCGGGGCGCCTGAATTTGGCCCCGAGACCGACTGATCTCCTTCTTCTCGATCGAAGTGTGTAAGTAGTAGGTCCAAGGTGAGAATCTGCTTGAATCGGTCGAACGCCTGTTGACACTCCGTGTTCCAATCAAAGTTTGATTCTGGTTTGAAGAGGTTTGCGAGGGGATAGCGGAGCGCTTGCATATTAGGCACAAACTTGTCAAAATAGTTAATCGCGGCAAGGAGAGAGCGCACACCGGATACGTCCGAAGGAGAAGGAAGCTTGCTAATCGCCGCGACGAAGTCCACCATCGTGGATGATGTGTCCGAGATAGCGAATTTGTCGCTTCCCAAATGAACACTTATCAGCTCGGATCGTAAACCCGAAGTCTTGAATTCGCTGAAGAACGGCTCGGAGATTGCGGTCATGATTTTGCTGGTTCTCACCGCCCACTATAACGTCATCAAGATAACCGGATGTTTCTGGTAGATCAGCTAGCATCGTGTCGAGGAGTTGCTGGAAAACTCCACGAGCAATTTTTACACCCAGTGGAAGGCGGTTGTAGTTGAGGCGTGTTGATAGTGAGTAAACTCTGAAAATTTTTATCTACCGGTACCTGTCTGAACTGGCAAGTGTTTGCTAGCTTGGCAAATATATCTTCCGGTAGAGGCAACGGGTACTGGTGCGATTGCAGAGCGGAGTTCAAGCCAGTGGAGTAATCTTCGCAGATCCTGATTGCTCCATTCGCCTTACGCACGACAACTATAGGAGCAGCCCACTCCGAGTAATCGATCGGCGAAATGATCAGCAGCTTCTCCAATCTGTCCAACTCCTGTTTGACGGCATCGTCCGTTTGGGACAAAACACGGGTTTACAGCTGGTGTTCAGTTCGACGGTACTGACCAGAGATCGAAGCTGTCCACCAAGTTGAATCCGAGAAGCTGTAGTGGTTTCTCCGTCACACCGCATCCTTTTGTTTCACCGATGGTAACGTTGGCCAAGAACTCGCCATCAAGCGCCCATCGCCTTGACCGTCGATGGACCCAGCTCCGGACTTCCGATCTTCTCCCAAATTTGCTTGCTGATGAGTTGCAGGTGAACCAACGTCCCACATAGGCTTACGAGCACGGACCTCCTCATTGAAGGCTGGCGTGCTTTGATCGCACTACTACATAGCCTTCTCGATGTCCAAGCTGGCCACATTTGGAACACTTCTGCTACTTGTAGCCGCAGTTGCGAACATAGTTCAGTCCGCCACAAACCATTCACTATCGCTCAATGGATGGTCTGGGGACTCAAAGTAACGTTTTTTTTTTAAATACTTGATGCTGTACCTGTTGGAATGGAATCGGTGCTTCGATCATAGCGTTAGCACCCGGTAGGAACTAACGATTTTAAATTGGCTCACTACTTTACTAGCCTATTGGTCCCACGCAAACGATTAACATAACCCATTCTAGTCGAAATTCTAGTACAACACTATGTTTGTTTTGATTCGTTATGAAAGTTTGACAGATAAAATGAGGGGTTCGTGGATTATCCTATGTTTTCGAGGGGTGCATCGATTAGCTTGGAATCGAAGATAGTACTAGAGCTTGTTCGATCAGAGCACGTTTCTTCGGGACCTTCTGGTCTTAGAGTTACCTCTATAGCAATATCGTGTTTGAGGTTAAAAAGACGCTGGTTCTCATTTCACAGGTACTCTAGCATGATGTCATTCACCTCCTCGATCTTTCAAACGTCTATATCGCCGACTGACCACCGACTCCTTTGC